TAGATGAATATTCAAAAGCAAAGTTGAAATTAAGCAAGTACATGGCAAAAGCAAGGAGTATAACAACCGAATTCAGAAGCTCACATATTGAATAATTAAAACACACAGTTTGGTATAAGCTTTAGCATTTTGGCGAGTAAAGCTGAGAAAGGATTGCACAGATATAAGTTCAGTCAATTGTATGGATAATGAATCGAAGTTGGTTCAATATGAGAAATTTCAGCATGCCTTAGGCTTGGGAATCAATAATGCATATTTGACAACTGAAGAAGCTGAAAATATTAGTTAGTTTCTTCCTTTGTTTTTCCCATAACATTTTTATTAATTTAAAACAGGCCAGGTAACTCAATACATGCAAAGTTGGATATACGAAGGCAAAACAACTCCGATGGTTGAGGATGTCGGGTATCCACGGTTATGGTCAGAATGTAAAGTGACACATAAATCTGGTGAAAAATACTTAGGTTAGTATCAAAATAAAGTACAAGCTTTTTTCTTTTTTTCTCACTTTGTTTCAACCTCCTGATCTCTTTTGCTGACAACCACCAAATTAAACAAGTTAGGCACTTCCAGAACACTCTCATATCTGCAAGAAATGAAATGAGCAACATACAGCTTTAGAACATAAGTTAGGATAATGCCTGCCCTGATCCAACTCATTGTCAAAGATCTTGATATTAGCCTAAAATATGTAAGAGTTTACAAAAATTCCCTTCTGTCCTTGGAAAAGTTTATGATTACAAACAAGAATGAACAATTTTCTTCAGAAACAAGCACTCTAGCTTCACATGTAACAGGATGTTATATCATCAATAGGCAATTGATGGAATTACAGAGCTCAATTTCCTCATATTGTCTACAAACAATATCTTCAAAACCATCTATTAGAAGTAACAAATGGAGGAAAGAGAAATTAAAGAATTTATACACCCGACTTATCAATATTCTACAACAGTTAAGAGATATTAAGAAAATAAATTAAACTGAGGGTGCATCTACAAAGACTTCATTGAACATGTCATCCTCACCATTTGCTGTAGTAAGCATCTCCGCGTCCTTCTCCTCGTCACTGGAAAAGTCCCGTTTCTCAAGTTTTGCATGAGCTGCAATGAAGATCATTCTTTGAGCCCTATCCATGCCA